TTTTTTTTTTTTTTTTTTTTTTGGAATTCCAGAGGTTCAACCCAAAATCCATCTGGGACCAGTTTGGTTTCATTTTGGTTTCTCATCCTCTTTTTCCTTGGGCTTCTTCCTGAATTCCAGACCAATCCAAGGGGCAGAATTCCAGGCCTTAGAAGAATTCTTTGGGAAATTTTCTTGGGGAAATTATAAATATATATAATTTAGAGATCTATATATTTAAAAAAAAAAAAAAAAAAAGGGGAAAAAAATTCAGGAAAAGCCAGATTTATTTTCTTAGGAATTGCTGAAGCTAAGAATTCCTTCGGGATCATCCTGAGTGACAAAACCCCCCACTTTCCCCACTTTTCCTGGCGTTTCAATATTTAGGGATTTAGGTTAGGGGGAAAAAAAAAAAAAATCCAAAACTCGTTTTCCAAACTGGGATTCGTTGAATTAAAAAAAACCCGGAATTCCCTCCTGGATGCAGATTTTGTTTTGTTTTTTTTTTTTCCGTAGGGATGTGAAGAGTTCAAATTTGGGAATTGGGTTGGAAATTTGGAATTTGGAGTTTTCTTTTCATTCCAGGCTTGGATTGGGAGATGCCGACACAGGGGTGACGTGGAATTCTGTAAATTCCATCAGATTTGATGGAAAAGTTGCCGTTCCTTTCCCACATGGAATTTTTTGGGGTTGGTTCAGGGGGGATTTTCCTCTCCTGTGTTTTTTGGTTTTTTTTCCTCATGGATGCCAGCATTTGGAAAAAGTTCATTTATTCCCCCAAAAAATCCCAACAAAACTGCTCCAATTAAAATCCATATTTTTTTTTTTAGGGGTTGGTTTATTCCTGTGTTTGGATGATTCCTGAAAAAAAAAAAAAAACAAACAAAAAAAACCCCCAGGGAATGAAATGGGAGCAAAAGGATTCCATGGGATAAAAACAATGTCAAAACTTTCTGGATCCCAGCAGAATTCCCTTGGAAATTGGAATTTCAGCCAACCCTGGATTGTGAAAATAATCGGGAATGTTGGAATTGAAGGATTTGGAATTAAAAATCCAAACAAGTCTCTGTGTCCACACTTCCAAATGTTCCATCCTTATTTTTTTTTGATGGATAATTCAGGATAAATCCCCCCCAAAAAATTTGGGGGAGATTTGTTTGGAAGGGGAGGGAAAATCCAGCATGGAATGAGGTTGGAGAAACCCAAAAGATTTTATGGAATGAGGTCGAAACTCAGAATTCCCACTCAGAATAAGGCTGAAAAATCAAAAATATTTATGGAATAAGGCTGGAAATCCAAAATAATTTATGGAATGGGGCTGAAACTCAGAATTCAGTCTGGAATGTAGCTGGAAAAATCCAAATTCCCGCCTGGAATGCAGCTCCTGCGATCCAGCCTGGTTCTGACGTGGTTTTTACCAGTTTTTCCTTGGAATGTTGCTGGGAATTTGGAGGATTTGTTTTTATTCCATCCAAATTTGGGATTGATCTTGGGAAAAGATTCCATGTTGGAATGCCAGAATGGTTTTTCCTTCCCAAAATTCCATGTTCCCGTGGTTTTTTTTTTGTTGTTGTTTTTTTGGGGGGGTTTGGGATGGTTCAGGTTCAAAGTTGTTCCAGGTCTTCAATACAGATTTTCCAAACCTCTTCCGGGTCTCCTTTTTCCAGGAAAGAAAAAAAGCCTACTTTATC